GAGTTTCCCCCTCCCCCCCCCCCCCCTTTTTAAATCGTCAGATAACAACCTATTTCACTTCTGTTATTCTGTTGTGGGAGAGACAGTTACCTTCCAATTAATGTTTTTAATTTTAACACGTCTTTGTGATCAACAAACATGAAAGAAACAGAGATAATGATTTCACACCCTAGAAGTAAAAATAATGACGAGACAATGATCAAGAAAGAACTTAATGTTTCAAAAAGAGATAAGAATGCTGCCACTTCTGAAGTCCTGAATTAGGTTTCAGCCTGTGCCTACCTTGGTCAGAAGATTGCTCCCCTGAAAAGATAGATTGTCCTCAGATGTGGTTTCAAACCACCATAATAATTTAAAGCGATAATTGTCATTATTTGTTTACACATATAAATAATATGCTATTATTTGTAGTTGGTTTCTTCTGCAAAATCTGGACATTTGGAGGTTAAAGAAGCAATAGATATCAGTGTTATTTGATTGTTGCCATGGCCTGTACTTCTGGTGCATCCAAATCACAGTCTCGGCCTGCAGTGTCCACAGGAGCATGGCCTACTCACTGGATGTCCATGTAATTAGGTGAAGAATTATCTTGGAGTTGTGGCCACCTCGTTAATAACATCACCTTGGAAAAGTATGTTTTCTCACAACTGAGCAAAGTGGCAGTGCCCCCTGTCTATCTTCCTTCATCCCAAACTCACGAAGGGATGAAGTGAATCCAGCCACCCCCTCGCTCTTTTTCACCATCCATGTCATTAGCTCGAATCCCTGCAGCATCTGCTTCTTTGAGTATCACACAGTTTATAATTCTCTTTTTTCTTGTTACTAACGTTGCCAGTATAATGTAGTTTTTAGCTTGTTGCCCTATTAAAAGTGAAAATCAGGAAGGTATTGCTATTGACAGAGCTGCTCTGGAGCAGTGAAGTCTATGTTTTGAGGATTCAAACTCTGCCCCTTCTTGGAAAGCATCTGTTTTCCTAAATGATATGCATTCTGTAGGACCCCAGCTTTTAGATATGTACTAAATATGTACTTATTGGCCTTTTTCAGAGAGGGCACAAAAATTGAGGTCTCTAGACTTTTCCTCATAGAATAATCCATGAGGGAGAGCTCCTGTAAACCTGTGGGAAAGAAAACTGTCAGGTTGGATCAGTGCCTCTTTGCCGGTGGTCCTGAAAGCTGCACTATTCCTGAATTCCAAGGCTCCCTTTTTCTTAAGAAAGTAGCCTTTTTTACATTGAGCAATTAAATCTTCTTCACCCAGTAGTGTTGAGGAGCTTTCAGTTCCAGCTCTCTTGAACCTGCAGCTTCATATTCATGTAACATACAGTTCTGTCTGCTCTGGACTTCCCCTGGTCTGCAATGTGGCATGGAGATTTCTTCTGGTGCTCCTGCCTCCAAGGTGAAATCTTTCTCTGCATTGCCTACGTTTAAGTGATCACAGAACCTGGGACCTGGAGATTATAGATGCAGAATGTTCTAACAGTTGCCAGGCTTTTTTCCAATTTCCTGCAACCTTTCTCCATCTTCAGGAAGAAATACAGAAGAGGCTGAGCCCACAGTGATCTTAATTGCCTGTGTATTCTCTATGTCACACGTTATTGAGGGACAGACATTGCTGAAGGACAGCTTACCGCTTGGAAGACACTAGTCCTGTTCACGTATGAATGTTGTCTGAAGGGATAATTTATCTTAAATGACATCAGAAACTATGGAGTAAGTAGCTATCCTTTTTATTGCTATTTGATTTGTGGCAACTACGTAACAAAAGAATTAAATAGTAAATGCCTTTGTTAAACATAAGTGTGTTCCTGCTGGGCCATTTTATAGGGTGGGAATTTACAGAATTCACAGTGCATGCAAACAAGGCTGGAAGGGAAGTCTGAAATGAAGAATGCATCTGTTTAGAAATTATTAACATTTCCTTATGAAGTTAGAGTCTATGGAATAGTGCTGATAGTGGTCTAGAAGGGCTAAGGACCCAGATGGTTTTCATTTGCTTTTTCCTCATTATAAATAGGATTATTGTGTGAGCTTTTTTGTAGATTCCTAAAGAAAATAAGACTGGGAGGAAAACTGACTTCTGTTCTAGGGATGGCAATTCAATTGAATAGTTTTAAGTTTTCATCCAAGTCATAAATACAATAGGATTTTTCTTCTCAGACAAATTGATTCACCAGATTGTTATCATTTAGCTGATTGTGACGCGCCACTAGAGGGGCATCTGGGATTCTTTCAGATTCCGAGGTTAGTTGCACTGAACTGAAGAGATCATCATTTGTCATATAATAATTTATCAGAGCTAAGCGGTTCTGCACATATGACAGGCACTGAACAACACTAAACAGTTAACATCAGACAGTCTACAAGTATAACAAAGCTAAAGAGTATAGCAAAGAACTCAAAATAGAATGCACATACCAGAGCACTATGGTTAAGCCATGGATGCATGGTACAATGACTGTTCTCGTCCTTTCCTTGTCTTTATTGGCCACCCCTCCGGTACAGTTTTTCCCAGATTATTCTCACCACGCTTGAGCTGTGCCAAGATGATTTGGGTTCTCCCTGGCAGTTGGCAGTAGGGGCGTCCCTGCTGACGGGTGGGTTGTTGGGTCCACAGGCCGGCTGACAGTGAGTCTGAGTCCACACAAGATGTATGTGGCTTACTTCTTTTATCCCTCCCAGGCTTAGTTCATTATCCAATTGATCAAAGCCGGACCACAGTGAGACAGTAGAACAGATGGCCTCAGTTGATAACAGTATGGATACCAATAAGATGGTCAACAGGGTGGTAACAGTATACATATCAATGGATATCAGTGTGGATGTTCAACAGATAACCCAGTGTGAAATTTCACAGTACCTAGATCCTTACAGCGTGAGTCTGTGATGTCACTTCCCCTTTGCTGACTAGGTTTGCTCAGTGCTCATAGTGTTACTGGAGGGCTACAGCAACCCCACAGTGTGGTGACTCCTGCTGCGGTGCACCCAGGGTTCCTAAACTCCTGGGGAGCACCCCAGAGCAAACTCCTCTTCTTTGGGCTGCACCATCGTGAGTCCCACGCTTGCCTATGTGGTGCCTATCAATGTCTTAGACATAAGTTTTCATCCTAGGAATCCTTATGCGATCCATAAAGCTCTGATGCTATATCAAACTCATCATTAAAAACTTACATCATCATAAGTGGCTTGTTAACTCACTTAAGTTTGTTAGTTTTTTTTTTTTTCTGTCAGCTCATTATTTCATAGTTTAGACAATAATTAATAGGTTTTCTGTCTAGTCACCTCTTCCAGTCATCTCTGTCAAGATAGCCTGGTAGTTTCTGTTGTCTTCCTTTATTCTCTCCCTTTGAAGTGAAATGTTCAAAGATGACATGTTTCTGAACGATGTGGCATCCTACTGAAAAATGAATTACTCACCTCTAAATCTGATAGGTAGTAGCTTAGTGACCTGTAAGTGACCTTGTTTAATTCCATTTTCATTTTTGAGAAGAGGACAAATAAAAATTCAGCTACCTTGGACAGGTGAAGCTTTGCTTTGACTCTGAACTGTAGCTTTTCCTTTGATTTGTTATCCTTGGTCCAAGAGTTATAATCTTTTTATTCACTGTTCAGAAAAAAGTCAGTAGTGCAAAGCTAACATTACACATTCAAATCCAAAATTTTGATTTTATCTTAGCAAAAGTCTATAGTATGAGAATAATATATACATTTTAGAGAAAAAAAGTACATGAAACATAAGGAGACAAGTGCTTTTAAGAAGAATCTCCCATCTATATAGCTTGTATTACAGTTTGGCATCCAGTTCATGTAATTGAAAGCTTCTGACTTTAATTAGGTTAAATAATTGTATATTGAACCATGGGCAGGATAGATATATGATATACTGATCACCTTCAAGTTCAGAAGGCTGAGCCTACTGGTCAGGGATTAACAGAAAGAGAGATAGATCCAGTAATGGGATCGAGTTGTCTTGTTTGGGATAGCGTGTCTGGTAGGATTACTACATAGGCAGTAACTGATTCACTGAATGTGAGTGACACAGCACAGGCAGGATTTCTTTTTGTTGCTTTCAAGAGGAGATATTCCTTTAACTCAGCTTTCTTGTTTCCCCCAGAAATGTTTCTTTCAGCATCTTTTTATTGGCACAAATTAGGCAGCTAAGTTTTTTTTTTTTTTATGGTTTCGATTTTTGCTTTCTGGTGTTAATGGCTCTTGTGCTTGCATCTACTCGTTGAATTCCTGGCAAAGCAGGAAGCTGGAGTCCTGTCAGTTTCTCTCCTGCCTGTGGAATTGTGAATTTCAGCGATGTACAGCTAGAGACTTGCCGTCACTGCTCTACTTGCTTAGCAAACCTCTGTGCAGTGAGCCTCTGGGTAGACAGGAAAGCATTAAAGTGTTCTCTGAGTTTGTTCAGAAAAACAACATGACACTGCTTAAACTTTCAAATGAGTAATCTTTGCAAGCCCTAGAAACTTGGAAAAAATGGAATACCCCCCCCAAGCATAAATCCTGTATTAATTGAAGATTAATTTCCCCTCAAACTTTCCCACTGCCTGCTGAGGTAGCCTGAATGGATGTTCAAGCTCTGGTGTGGAGAAATACCAGATAATGCTAACCACAATCTAGTTATTAAAATTAATGTCTTTGTAGACACACTTAGTTTTTGAAAAAAACTTTGATATCTTCTGTATGTTTACTAAATCTTGTTTAGCTCATACAACAAGGCATCATCACATATCTTTCCACCAACTGTCATTAATAATAAAGAAAGAGCTTAGAATTGTAACATTTGCTATGAACTGAACTATTTCTTAATTTGACTGTTTGTGAAAATTCAGCCAAGTTTCATTGTAAACATGGGAAGCATCCATTGTTGTAGTTGCAATTTTACATTAGTGAAATTATAAATATATATATAATTGTAGACATGTACTATATGTAGATAAGCAGGTAAATAATTAACATTTATCCCCAAGTAGAATTGTTACTCAGCAGCACTTCATTTGAAAAGGAAAATATTCAAAGATATTACTGCTCAAGAGAGTAATAGCATCACTACTACTCTCTGGTAGTGATAAATATCCTTTTCCTTCCTCTGAGGAAGGGTCAGAATTGATGGTCATGATCATCACTTAATCATGGTTAAGGGACATGTTTTATTCTCAGCTTAAAAGAAGTGGAGAGCAGTTATTGGTATCAGACTAGATACCTGGAATCCAAGGAACTCCTGTCATTTCTATCTCCTCCACTTTCCCTGAGAAGTTAAGCGTAGCTCACCTGTAATTGTCAGGGTCTCCTAATGTCAATATTTTGCATGTGAATAACGTTCTCATTTCTGTATCAACTTTTCTCAGGGAGACCAAATATTATCTTAATTATTTAGATTTATTTCAGTATCACATGGGTGCTTTTTAAAGTGCCTTTATAATCCACTGCAGTGCAAAAATAAAGCAGAGGAATCTTTCCCAAAAATCTAGATGAAATGAGACTAAACTCCTCAGATCTACACATCTCCTGGCTGTAGTGCCTACGCCTGTGACGTTAGCTTATTTCCACCTCCCTCAAAACCTTCAGAAAGGGAGACAGGAATGAATTATGAAGGAAACAGTGTATCAGAGCTGGCACTCTTTTAAACGGATACACTGTAAGATAGTAGCTCGGACAGTGATAAGACTGCTGGTAGCATGGCCTTCATCTATTACCCCAGACAAAAACTCAGATTTGGATCTTTGTGTCAGTGGCTACAATTGCTTTTAGTACCTCATCTAGAAAATTTAAAGCAAGGATGGGTATGTCTAAGGGATTGAAGTAACTGCGTTTGGACAGTACTGAAAGGCGTACTCCAAAGGAATTATAGTTGGTGGGCGCAGGATCTCAAAAACCAGATATATCGGAACACCATTGTTGTGTCTGGATTTTTTTCTAGCAAAATTACCCTTAGCTCCATCTTGAACTGAAGCTGGAGCATCAGAATTGCGCTGTCAGAGAAGGGTGAGACATACTTGAATGCCACCTTGTCAGTTCTCAGCTGCTCATGCATATATCCACAAATTTCTTCTTCCCAAAGCTGTCTCTTCAGCACATAAAACTGCTGAAATTATTTGTCAGGAATTAAGAATATCAAGCTTATGCTACAGAAATCAAGGAAAGAATATCGCAACATTTTCATTTGTCTGGATCAGTGACTTTTAGAGTTCCCTAATCTGGATTTTAAAATATGTTGTGTCTCATCTTGGATTAGTAATAGCTTGAAAGGCCATGGAACAGGAAAAGTGACAAGTAGGGTAACCTGAAAGGCAAACAGTCACCTTACTTTACACATTTTGTCTTCTATAAGAATCATCACTGGCATATGGTTACCTCTACTTACCTTAACTGAAGAAATAGTTTGAGAAGGTTAAAGATGTTTCAGGTTTCTGCTTCAGTCAGAAGAATCCAGGTGGACTTGGCAACTGCCATCAACTAAATATTTCTCTTGGAAGGATGTGCCTAGCTTTATATGACATCTCTCTTACTTGGAGACTTTTTGCCTGTTCCTTGATCTCTGCTTTTGGATGACTAATTGTATGCTTTCTACTCATTATAGTGACTGATGAAGCATTGTCTTATATTTTTTGGAAGGAAGAATAATCAAAAAGTGCATTGCTTATTCCCAGATTTTCCTCTGAACAGGACACAACCATTAAAAACTGTAGGACATTCTCAACTTCTGTTATTCACTCCCAGGCATTTGAATATTGTGAGCTGGTCAAAAAGGGATTAAAGAATGAGTATGATTAAATTCCTTTTTATATGCTGTCATATGTTTGAACACTGACACTTCACGTCTTCAGTTTTTGTTCTGTAACAGTGAGAACTGCAAACCATCTTCCCTTTGGGGGAAAGCAAAGCTGAAATTGCTGACATGTTCATGTGAATACAGTATCTACAGCTTTAAGATTCCTGATAAAATCACAAGAGCTGACAACACAGAGCACCGTTTCAACATTAGAATAGGAACACTATCAAGGATATGGAAAGGATTGCAGATAGTTTTCATATTCTAACATGTTTTCCATACAGAAATAATTGCTTGGCCCAACAGCAGATTCCTCAATGACATTATGAGGACCTCTACAAGCCTACCTATATTTTTGTCCACTAACAACCTTCCTTCTATATTTCATTCTTGTTTTCTTTCCAGTATAAACACTGCATTGTATTTTGGTATATGGCTTGCTCAAGGGATTTTTATGTTTATGATCCAACAGTTGTCTTCTGTCTTTCTTTGTAATCCTTATTTTTGTCATTTGTAATCTGTCATTTCTGTGACATAATTTCACAGGCATATTACTGAAATGCCATCCTTATGATCAACTTTTCCCCTGTCCTGCAGAAGACAAGTTCTGAATTTTGGTCCAATGAATTTTCAGTCTTCCTGTATTCAGAGAGGACTGTGTTTTTCTTCCATCTTACTTTTTTCTGCCCCTGTGATTTCAGAAAATTGAGTGTGAGTAGTGTACTTTAAAGCAATCTGAGCCAGCAGTCCTAGTTAAGACTAGGATTTTCTAAAGATCCAAACAGAAATTGGCTCCTTGTTAGTTCATGATGTATTTCCTTTATTGCAGTCAATACTGAAAGAATGGCACTCACATAAGTAGCACTTAATACCATTTAACTAGGGACAGAGTGTCTTAGCCGTCAGAAAAAAAATCTTACGTTTTTAAGCATCCTGTATTCTAACCCCTCATTTAATACAGAAATTGATTATATTAAAAGCAAATGACTTGTCACCTTGAAAACCAAACACTGAAATTTCCTGACTACATTGTATACGTTATTTAATTGAAAGACGTCTCTCTTGAATCAAACTTTCTGTTTTTGTTTTGCCAAAGGTGAAAGTTGCAGTTTAATTAATGGTGGTGGTAGGAAAGGAACTTGCATCCATATTCTTTAAATTCTGAAGATATATTTTGGTGCAGTACTGTGCTAAATCTCTTCCATGCCAACTCCCCTTGTGTTTAGGGTTGGTTTCTTTCAGTCTGCCCTTAAGGATTCTGCTTCTCAGTCTTCTTGCCCTTGCCTTGGAAAGGAAGATAGGTGCCTCAGTCTTACAGACTTAGAGATGATTCAGAGAAACTATTAACTACAGAGGTAGTTGAGGAAGACTAGTTTCTTTTCTGAGCCACTAATCTCGGTCCCTAAAGCGGGCTGGGTGAATAAGCATGTAGCGCCTCTACTTCCTTCTAGAGGCCAATTTCTTTCTAAAATTCTATTATTTATGTCTAGTTTTGGATTCTTTGTCCATTTGGGGTGTTACTCTCTTCAAGTCTGTCAGTCAAGTCTGGGGGTTAGGAGTTTAAAGTTTTTAATGAGATTTGAAGTACACCCTGCTTCCTTGTCACTTACTGGTCTAAAAAAGGGCTACAAGGAAAGTACCAACCTGCAGCAGACCCCTTGCTAAACTAGAAAAGAAACCTTCTGAGATTTGATGGGAAAGAAGAACTAGGAGGACAGAGCATACCTGAAATTTATGCAGAGACATTAGCATACTAGCACACTTAAAATTGGTGCATGTATTCCTTGTGTATTACAGTGTTTGGTGGCAAGAGAAAAAGAAATGTTACCTGGGAATACAAAAGAGCAGGTGTAATACATTTGCGTTTATCTCCAGGACAACTCATTACATTCTTATTCTTGATATAGGAACCATTAGCACTACCTCTAGTTATTTCATATTCATCACAGAAAGTGATGGGAAAAAACTCCATAGTAGATGTTCAAGTAGTGGAAAACTAGCATTTATTAAGTTTATGCTTGCTGACTCACTGATGATGATTTTAAATGGGTTTAGTGTTTTTCATGAGTCTTTTCCTGTAGAAGGGAAAAATAGAACATGCTGTTTAGTTGTCTATAAATATTTACTTTGTTATTATACAAAGCTAGCAATTCATGGTGTTTAGAGAAGCATGTTTAGAGAGCACAATCCAGCGTTCTTTTCTTGAGCAGTCACTGAAAGCAAATTTGGATACAACAGTCCCTTTTAAAATCTGTGGAAGTAAGTTATCACCTCAAAGAGTGGGGTTTATTGCTGTTTTCAGGAATTAATTAGAAAAATGTTTGAGGTCCTTCTTTAGCAGGCACGTTTACCTTGTGTGGCTAGTATCCACAGTGCTGCTAGCCTTTAAAAATATTTCTCACAGAAGCAGAGGAACATACAAACAAGGTATTTCAGAAGCTCACTATTTTCACTGGGACTGACACATTTAATGTTTCTCCCAGCTTAACTGAAACTGTGATGTTAACTTTGCTCTTATTTATACACATGTGCCTTGAGTTACTAAGATCTCATGTACCTTCAAAACATTCCATACCTCCTCCTCCGCACAGGGAGAACAAATACAATTGATGATGATACTGTTTCTATTTTTCTCAGTTATTTGGGAATATGATTCCGTTGTTACTGATGACGTAAGTTTTGCACTCTCGAGACAAACTCTTGGGTAGTAATGGGTCAATATATACATTATAGTACAGTGAGTAGAATTGGGCGCTTTTGACTGCCATTTGCAAGAATTTCATTTTGCTTGAGAATCATTACTTTAGGAGGGCAATTTGGGTCTTTTGGTTTTTCTTTTGAAGGGATTAAGGGTCAGCCTCTGAATGCCCTAATCACTGGGCAGTGATGGTCTTGCTCCCTATTACCTGGCCTGGCAGAACTGTGGATTTTTTTTAGGGTATCATGACGTTGAGCAATAGTGTGTTCTGATTCTTGAGGAGTCCACGTTCAGATGGTTGCAATACTCTTTTGAGTAGTAGACCTTTATCATTTTTAACTGCTTCAGGCTGAAGAGGGAACTGAGCTCAATTGCTTCTTTTCCTGTGGGAGCACTGTAACGACTGTACTGATGGAGAGGGCAACTTTACATCATTTTCTCTTTCTTTAGCTCTGCTTTCAAAAATAGCTTTGGCAGCTGTTTTGGGAGACCTGTGTTCATAACAGAGCTGTGTTACTCCTGTTACCTATGCTCAGAGCTCCTGAGGGGAACCAATTTAGTAGGGGCAAACCAAGGTTGTGAAATTCAGTGAGAGCTGCCATGAAGAGCTGCTGAGCTGCTGTATCTGGGCATGGTCAGAAGCAAAATTTCAGGTAATCTTGAAGACTTTACTTTCAAAAGGCACACAAGTGTGGACTTTAGGAAGTTACACAGTCAAGCAGGAATTTCTAACTATTGCTTGGATTTAGGTTCCTAAAAGCCAGCAAAATCCTTTTGTGTATCCACGCCTGGATATGTGAGGTGTTACTTGCAGGTAAGGGAAGTAACTTAGCTGAGATGTTGCAAAATCTTGGATTGCAGCATTTTCAACTTCTGAATAATATGTGGATTAAGAAAAACACTTCTGACAACCAATTAACCCCCCAGCTTCTCTATATTTAGCTTGTTGTAGGAAGTGGTAATGATCAGATTGAAGATCACACCAATTCACCCAGGCTGAACCTTGTCAGCAGACAGAGCTGACAACCTTATTACTCTCACTCTGAGCTGACGCTTTCAGATGTTCAGAAAACTGTCATGTTTAAGTTGACCATCAGCTTAAATCCTGCTTGTTAGATAAGACTAGCAATAGGACACTGCTGAGACTGAATCACTGTGATAGGAAGAAGGTGCAGCCGTTATCAAATGAGAAACTGCTAATGCCTCTTACCATACTGTTACTGTATCAGTTTTCCATATTATCTGATCTATGCATCGAATGGTGAAAGTAACAGAAAAAGTCTCATAGGACACCGTACTGGATGGTTCTCAAGGGGGTCAGATAACACACGATGTTTAGTGGTATCAGAAAAAAAACCACATAAAACTGCACAAAGGCAATTCTATTCATTTCTAGTGTATCTGCAATGTCTTGTAGCCACAGGTATCAAAAATAGGTGAAAATTCTAATATTATTAACATGAAAAGTTTCCTTACAAATAGCTTTTTGTCATGCTGGATCATGAGACATTGCAGAATGACAGAAAATCACACTGTAAATCCCACTTTTTCCTACAGTCTTCTCAGCTAACGCAGGAAAGTGGGTACTGACATTAGGAGGGGTATAAATATAGACTCTGTGGAACAATTCCTTAAGAAATAGTTAAAATTCCATTTGTGCCATTCAGTCTGATAACCTATTCTTCACAGAAAGGCATTTATAACAGAGCCAATCAAGGGCATAACATGTGGAGACTGTCATTTACAAGATTGATAGATATATGTTACAGACCTCTATCTCTTGAGTTCTTTCCCATTTGTTTGGGAAGAGGCCGACAGGGTAACGGACGCATTCATGCTCTTGTGTCCTGTCACTGCCTGTAACCCATAAAACAGGAAGCCAGCTTCAATACGATAGATCTTTCTGACAAAAAGACTAAATTGTTATTCATCATACTCAACTGATGAGTCATCTTTTGGGATAACGTTATCTGGAATTAATGATTCTGTAATCCTATTTCACCTTATTAAAGGTAAAATTGTAAATATTTTTAATGTCAATTCTGAATTAAAAATGCATTAACTTCAGAGCAACTGTTTCAATCTTGCTAGTAAACGTATGCCTGGAATTTTGTGGTTTGTTGTTCCTGTTTAAAAAGTATGATATTTTTCTAATATATGAGATCATGATCTTAATTAAGTTACGTTTTAAAATGATTTTTATCCCTATTATGTATATCATAAATAGATATTTAGGCTTCAGCCTGTTGTACATGTTTAAATATTTTCATTTTGTGCAGCTCAGCTGAATTCAGAACATTGTTTTCCTCTAGTCCTCCATATTTCATTTATATTGCAGAACATATTATCAGCTAGCTCCACAGAATGCTATAATAAATTCTAGTATCATAAAGTCCTTTGAAAATGAAAAAAACCATTATTGTAGATAATAAGTGGAATGGTCCTTTTCACTTCTATTGTCAGTTAAAACAGAGATGGTAATAGTTTCTTAATTCCTTAATGAAAGAAACTAAGAAGATAGAGTTATTGAATAATTAATAACAATTATTTTGATTATAAAATAAGCTGTATTTAACCTTTTACTTACGATTTACGATGTATTTAACATTTTTCAAATGAAATGTCTTTTCTCCTAGCTGATCAGAAATGTTTAGAAGTTTTACTGAAGGTATGAGTTGGTAGATATTGCAGGGTGAACTAAAATATATAATATGGATTACTCTAGCCTGTCTACCAAAAGCAAGTTTGTATATATCTTTTCATTAAGAATCTAAAAACTGTTTACAACACATATTTAAATAATATTTTTATTCCGTGTATTGGGCAGGACTGCACTTAAATACACTATAGGAGTTACTTAGTGACACCAGAATCATAAAACTATGCTCTTTTGTTTTTCAGGTTTTAAGAACAGATGAGGATAATATGGGGGATGGTTGCTCCCAGAAACTGGCTTCTGCCAAGTTCCTTCGACTTTTGCTCCTAATATTGATTCCATGCATCTGTGCCCTTATCCTTTTGTTGGTGATTCTGCTTACCTTTGCAGGTGAGTGCTAATGGAGTTAATTGATAAGTTTTTAAGTAAGGAGAATAAAACTGAAATATGACTGCAGTCTCAAGGGCTAATGTAATTGTAGGCATAAAGACATCTTTTAGCACATCTACCTCATACAGTAAGCCAATAGTATATGTTGCAGAGAAATAGATATCATATTTAGATTTATATATTTAAAATGTATTTAAAGGTAAAAAAGGGGAAACCTTTTCTGAATTTCTGAAAGTGGATTTTTGATGCGCGTACTGCCTTGAAAATGTAGTATATAGATGTTTTTTCAGCAGTCATTTTACAAGTATATTTTTATGTTTGGTTGTTTGATGTACAGGTTAGGGACATTTGAATAACTAAGTGGAATAGAATGTTTGTCCCTTAATTTCATGCACTGATGTGCAATTATAATTTTTGCTTTTCAGGTGAAGGTTAGCTTATAGCCACAAATCTTTCTGAACAGCCTACAAAATAACACTGTTTCACTAAAGCAAAATAAGTATATTTCTTATAAATATGAAGTATATATCAATACAAACCCCTACTTATGTTTTGCTGAAACTTGTTCCAGACATATTAGATTTCATAATGGCTTAATCTGTTAACTAACTTTGTGTCTGTTATAGAGTGAACAAGTTAACAATTCATTACCCACAAAATTTTAAAAAGTTTTCGCTTTGTTACCTTTACAGGGAAGCTGACATATCTTGGCATTAAATTGTTGCAATTACAGAGCTCTTGAGAAAGATAGTAATGCTAGGCTAAAACATTACTTCATTGGGAACAATTAGTAAAAAAAAATTAGTCTATTTTGCTTTCATTGATGAGAGATTGTTGGATTTTTACTTCAGTTTTTTGTTAATGAAAATATTTCCTTAAATACTTCAGAAGCAGAGCAGTAACAAGTATGGTAAAATGTATGAGTGTATATAGATATAAATATAAATCTATATTCCTATTTAAAATCACAGCTTCAACACCTATCATACAAACAGTTAGCAAGCATGGGAGGAAGCTGAACACGGGTCTAAATAGCACCTTCAGCTCTGTCAAAATCAAGACAACTTAAATCTGTTTTCTCGATTCAGTCTGTAGAGGATGATTTGCAACAAGATGTTTTATGCCTGTTCTTTTCATTTAGCTTAGGTTAGGCAAGTCAATAACCAAAGTTAATGAATGTGATGATTGACAACTAAGTCTTGGTATGTATCCTTAAACTAAGAACAGGCTGAAGTGGATTAAGATCAAGCAATTAGGAAGTATGACGCCATTCAATTTGCTTTCCTTATGTTTAACATTCCATTTGTATCCTTCATATCCTCTGCCCTAGATTTTCATTCTTTGGTGAGAAAGCAGATAAAAAAAGCAGGTGTATTTACGTCAGCTGAGACATGTATCGACATAACACTCATTAAAATCGTATAAAATCCTTCAGGGAAAGGGAACTTGTTCTGATCCTACTTCTGTAGCAAAAATCAGGACTATGTCCTCTTAAGTCAATGTAATTATTTTAGGGTAAAGAATCAGGCTTGGTGTTATTACCTAAACTTAAAAATTGGCAAAGATCCCTTCAGCATCCTGGGAATTATGATGATTATAATTTAGTATTCTTCTCTCTCAGTTAGCAGCTTTAGTTTTATGTGCATTGATAGCCCAGAAGCAAATATATCTGACGTCTGAAATTAAATGAACAAATTTTGTGGGCCTCTCTGAAATGTGTGTAATATAGTCTCTTCTACGTACTGAAAATCTATTGTATTCAGAACAGTAATTCATATTCTATACAGATCAATAAGAGTTGAATGTTCTTACAGTCCAGTATTGATATGATGACTTACAACATAAGAAATGAATTAACAGTCCTGACTGACAGGTGTCTATATTAATAACATTATAATTTGTCATTGTTACCTGTTACTATTCTCAAATTATAATTTAATGAATTATTAGCTTTTATTTCGTGAACCATAGATATATTAGCATGTCTACAGTACATTTATGTAAGTAGCATATTATCCATTTCAATAATTTATTATCAAATTTTTATTATAATATATGTTGTAAAGGTATTATTACGTTTCCTGTTCATTCACGTAACATATTGATCTAGATTCAAGGCAATGAATTTTACAACCAACATAATTATTCTGTGTATAAGAACTTCTGTTCTTGTCTTTTGACAAAATGGAGGAGTTAAGTTCTATTACTGTCATGCTAGTATCTTTTACTGGTGCTTAAAACATAAGTAGGGAGTGCCTGTATCTTTCTTAGAACTTCATGAACTTTTCTGATTTGACTCTAGGTAACTAACTCATAAGAAAATTATATTTTGCAGGAAAACATTTTGTTTACTGTTTTGTTTACCATTTACTTTACAATTTGTAGGTAATTATTCTTTTCCTTCTGTATTTTTTAATTGAATGAGGTATACAAACATAAAAAGTATCTACACACCTGAAAACTTTTCCATTCACTTTCCTTTTGTCTGAGATGTTGCTTGCACACCATTATCTCTATCTTGAACAAACTGGGAAGTTGGTATGGGTGAAAGCAGAGAGGTAGAGCTCTAAACTTGTATTGTAGCAATTTGGAGTATCCTGCTTGAGGTGCCGTGGGTGCACCCATATGCCATGGGTGCATGCTTTGAGAATATGCCATTAATCAGCTTTTCAAAAATTATTTACAGTCAGGGTAAAAAAGGTGAAAGCTATTGGAAAAGTTATTTTGTTAGAACTGTGTGCAAAGAAGAAAGGACAAAGCAAATGATGAATAGAGGTACGCTTTACTTGGATGAAAGCCTTCTATGGTCCATACAAGAAAATATCAGGTTGAGCTGCTCAGCTTTGATGTCTCTTCCATGCTTACAGTCTTTCGCTCTGCATATTCTTCTGTCCCTCGCTTACCAGGATTGTAGCATGCTTGTCGGCCTTTAGAAGAAAACTTTGTAATGAATATTGTTTTATTTATTAAAGCAGAAGCAGTAGTTAAGACATTGAGAGCCATCTCACAAGACTACATCGTAAGTTTTTGCTGTGCATTATAGTTAGTTTAATTTTCATTACTTTCAAGAAAACAAGCAATAACTGATTCCATGGTCTGAATAACTCCCTCTTTCTTTAAAATGGAAAGCCTGAAGATCACCTTAAATCTGTATGCGAATCTGTAGTCCATGACCCATTTTGCTTACACTGAAAAAAATCCTTAAGTAATGCATCCTCTGCAAACTTTACTAAGGTGCAAATTTCCAGAGTTTATAAGAATGAAAAATCTCTGGCATTTTCATTCTTTTCCTTGGAGAGATGAATTATTTTAAACCATTTGAAATATTAAATTTTTAAACAGTCATTCACAAGTGGCGAGCTTAATGCCAAATTTCAAATTTTTGTGATTGTACCATAGTTGCTTAGCAATGCAGTTATCTTGCTGGGGAAACAAACATGCTTTATACTTACAGGTCCACAAAGGAAAATCAGTATTACATTTATTTCCCAGTGATAAATAGATTCTGTGGTAGATGTTCCATTTCTCTTATGAACTGATACTGATGCAGTCTTTTGCCACCTCCTGTTAACAGCCCTCCACAACTAACACTTTGTCTATTTTTTTCTGTAGAATTCAGAGCAAGTCTTATGATGCACATAAAGAATGGTTTCATCTACTTCAAACATTTGCAGTCCAGATGTAATTTTTGGGCATATGATCACACTGCAGGATCACATCAAATAAGTTTGCCTTTCAGGCAAGCAGCATACTCTTATCTATGCACAATGTTAGGCATTCGTGCATTTTGCAAAATAGCGTTATAAAAATCTATTAGTCCATCAACACTGGAAGGAATAAGAATTGCAATGAAAGTGTTCAAGAGTCACTGTTTGCTCTGGATATGCAAATAATTGAGGTTTTGGTTCTCTCAGCATCCTCACACGAGCAGCATACAATGTTATATTTGTATTTTGGCCCCGACATGTATTTTGAGATTAATTGTGGCTATCAGTGATAATTACTACAAGTGTTATGTGTGAATGGCAGTATTTAGTATTTTCATCATATCCTTCTTAAAAACAAAACTTTTTCTAATAGCTGATTTTTATTATCCATGTATCAGCCTGGTCAGCTCCCAAATCATTCTGTTGTTCGGGAAAACCATAGCAAGATTCAGTGCACCTGAGAGATACTGTCACTTGCACATCACTGGTTGAATAATGATCATTATAGAGTCCGTAAGATCCATATTCTGCTTTCTCTTCCTCTCCACAGAACACAGAAGGAGCTGGGTCTCCTTCACAGAATAGACATAAGGAAAAGTATATTGTAATAAGACTGCCAGGGTTAGCTTTGTGGCTGTTAGATCCTGACCATTGATCAGTTAATATGCATATATCAAGACTCCTGTAACATTTGGGAACCCAACTATACCAGCCCACAGTGGATCTTTTGCTGCACGGATGAAATTAAATCTTCAGGGGAAGTTGTAGAACAGACTCCAGAGAGAAAGCATCTTGATTGCTGAATCATTTGGAAATCCTAATAGCTCTCCAAGTGATGTCAAGCCTCAAGGCATATGACATGAGATGACCTCACAATCTAAACTGACTGGCAGCATGGAGACACAAAATTGCAATTGTTAAAGCAATATGAAATAGTAACAATTCCACTTTCAATACCGAGGGTGAAATTTGCTGTAAGAGAGGTATCCAAATGTAGGAATAACACTAACATATACATAAGCCATTTGGTCCCAGGAGTTTTTCTGATGGAAGATGGTATATATCACATAAGTGATCTGCCAGTTTTGAATTTGTTCTTGTTAGCACAGCTAAACTGGGGAAAACATCCAAAGGAGTGTATCCTAAATCAGCCTCTACTTGACCAGCCTATAAAAACTAGCTTACTCTAGCAAACCTTAACTGACTCTCCTGGGAGCTTGGAGAAAAAGTTGGTGCTGTGAATATAGCTCCAGGTGAAGATGTCCTCTGTGAGGCATCACTGAGGTTACTGGA